ACCTAGCTTTTACCCTTCATCATTTTTTTTAATTTTCTCCCCGTGTCTCTTCATTAGAAGTTAAACTCACATCACATCAGAGCAATTGTTACAGATAGTTTGATAATCCACTGGTTCACTGTGTATGTGTCGAGGTGGGAGTGGGAGAATGAGTAAAGTATTGAATTGACCTGATAGGCAAGGAAGCAGGTAGTAGTGGTAGGAGGAGGAGCAGGAGGAAGATGATGATATGGTAAAGGCAAGGAGCTAGCTAACAAGCAAGCTATTTGTCAGATTCTAGCTGCGGTAGTAGCAGCAGCAGCATAAAGCATGCAGCTTTAGTTTTAGGTAAGATAGGTAGGTAAAGAGGAGGAGGAGGAGGCTTTCTTCTTTCTTTCCTTCCTTCCTTTAATGTGAGGGTGCAGCAGCTTCAACTGCCTGCTAGCAGCTGGTGAGACCAAGCGAGCTCTGCTTCACTTAGTTATCGATCTGGGTTTAGCTATTGATTCGTATCAGCCATTGCTACATTAAAAATCGGCAGTTGCTTCTTCTACCAGACTCAAGTCAAGACACTTATTCTGTTCTCTCTTGGTTGGTAGCTGTTGCATGCTGAGAAATTTCAACTGATTTTCTCTTATTAGTAAACTAATCTTTACTTGCTAGCAACAATTTTTTAAATTATTTTATTACTCAATGTAATTATGTGGGTAATAGTTTAAAAATGACTTAAATATTTAACTTTTTTTCTGTAAAAAAAAAAGTAATAAATTGTTCAGAATCTTTTTCTATTAAGTTTACTTTTTCTTTTAATATTACATAGATTAAAATTGAATACAAAGAAATAAAAGTATCATCACAAATTAAAGAAATTTCTTGTATTGATAAATTACATTTGATTAAGATATTTGCCATATATATTCAAGATAGACAATAAATTGTAAACTTATGATAATCAGTTATATAGTAATTCAATTGAAATTAACTGAAATATAACAAACAATTCACTCTTTTAAAATAGTAGCAAATTGGATATTTTTATATTAATTGCCAAACCCGGGGATAGAGGGCTATTTCTGTTGGATAATGTAAAAAAAAAAAAAAATAAGATTCAGTTCATTAAATAAAATTAAACTTTTTTTACACCTCTCCTCCCACAACTTTGTATTTTTCTCAGTAAAGATTTACTCTAGGTGCCTTTTTGCTGTTTTCTAAAGACTTTTAGAAGGACTAGATGATGTGGTATCTAGGAGAATATGGCTGATAAGTGAAACCTGTAGTCTTGTCCTTTTCATGAAATCTTATGTTCCTTCTCTTAATTCTGGATATATGCATTTTGTTTGTCTTCAGTTCATCAAATTGAAAGCAGTACTAGTTTGAATGAACTGTTTGTTTCTTTGTAAGAACTCCCTTCCACTCACAACATAGGGTTACCTTATTTGAATGAAAATCGGCTTTGCATATTGTTAATGCTGGTTCATTTCACTTGCTCCAGGATCTTTTGCATTACATGGAAATTCTCAAACGTTGGTTTATTTCACAAAACACACACACACACTCACTGTATGAGTGAGAGAGGGGGCCCACACATCAGTGGGTAATATAACCAGGCTGGCACAAATGGTTTTCACTATTTGATGTGGTTATTTTAAATGGGTTGGCTATCTTCTGCATCACAATGTATAATGTTTATATTATTCTCAAGTAATGTTTATTTGATTGGCATAAACTTCCTCAGATCTATCCAACCATGGAACAAATTTCAATGAAAGATCTCTGACATAGAACATTACAACCACTTTTGACGTGTGATCATTCATATGGGAAACTTGAACTGAAAAATTTTCTTCTAATATTAGAATCAATAAGCAAGAAGATGCTGGTTTTGAAAGTTATATTTTATATACATGCTAATGACAGCTGTCAAAATAGAATCAAGTGAATAAAGTGAGTTAAAACTAAATACTCCTAGTGGTAACAATAATAAACTTGGTGGCCAAACCTGGTTAGGTTAACAACAACAGATACCATTCTTAGAGATATTTTGAGTTATTGCTGGTTATTTTGTAAAAACAATTTAAGTTTTGATAATTGACTTGTGTTAATGTAAGAACATTTCAGTATCTGGAGACCTTGTACAAACCATTTTCCATAACAGATCTTTCTTCAGTTCAGAAAATTATCATTGTCTATATAATTATGTATGAATTGATAATGTAATTTTATTTTCAAATGCTTTCCATCAGAGAAATGCTATCTTTGTACTTTATTGCAGTTAGTGTTTGTCTCTTAAAATTTTGTCAGTGCATTTTGTGGTAGATTTTAATTTGATTCAAGCAAAAGTGTTTTATATAGAATCAAAATATCTCTTTATCAGTTTAATCATTTGATTTTTTTTTTTATTCTGTAAGATGTGAATAATGGTGGTATTATTCCTAGTTTTCATAATAAATGCCTGTTTATTTGAATTCTCTTATAATTCTTGCAATAAAATCTTCAATTTTTTTTTAATGAATATATCATAAGATTTAATAACTTGTAAAATCATTGTAATATTTTAAATATTAATTTTATTTTTATTTATTTTTATTATGTAATTATGATAGTCAATTTCTATTCAACTTTTTTTTTTTTTTTTTTTTTTATCTAAAGGTGACCATAATATACTTTATCCCCTAAATGCTGTGTAAACTTGGGAAAATCATTTTCACTTTTAGCTGAAAGAATTAGAGCTTAATTGTGAAGCACTAAAAGGATATTTTTCTGACTAGAGCTATTCTTAAGGGAAACAACTCTTAATACAGAATTTTGGCATGATGTAGCCTAGTTTTAGTATGGTGAGTCTTAAAATCTCTATATTGAATTTGTACTTGGGATTGTCCCCTCTGTAATAAAAACAAATGCTTTAGATTGAACAATAGTATGAAATAATTATTGGCAAATGAAATAAAGAACCTTGATATTAAAACTTATGCTTAACAACTTTGCCTACTTACATAGTCTAGAAGATAAGTGACTTTCCACAGCATCTGTTTTGGTCCCATTTCAGTACTAGTTTGAATATCATGTAACTTGATATTTGGCTTCCAAATAATTGGCATCAAATATTTTATCATTTTTATATCTCTGGATATTTCAGTTGGTGTATGTTTGTAGGAGCTATATTTTATGTTCAATTAGTGATTGATATTGAAATAGAGCTTAATTATTAAGTTTGTTTTTAATTTAGAATTGTTGTCATTCAATAAAAATCAATAACTAAATTTTTATTTCACTATAATTTGTTTCCAGTAACACTAAAGTTGGCTCTCTTTGTCCTTCCTGATCTGTAAACCTATTTTGAAAAACATTACCCAGAATCTATTTTAAGGTTATTGATAAATGAAAATAGTTTTTTGATAAAGCATTTTTCATAACTGGTTGCATTTTTTCTTTAATGAACTGAACTTTTACATATTTGTTAGCTAATTACATTAATTTTATGGTAACTAATATGAGTAGTTGATGTGCAAAATGATCTCAATATTTCTAATGAAAATAAAAACCCTGTAATAGATGAAAAAAAAAAAATCTTAATATATTCGTTAGTTGTAGATAGCTATCAAATACATTGTAATTTTTTTTTATACTGAAAAGTAATGTTCATTGATTAAATTAAGAATAAAAAAAATTGTTCAAATTTATTTTTAGTGAGCAATAATATTTAAAATATGCAAAGCTATCATAGATGATACTTACTGTTGCCTATCATTAGTTCTCAGAGGAACACACAAAACTGTATTTAACATATGCTTCTTTGTATAAACTTAGATCATTGATAAGGGAATATTTTTATAATATTAGGTTGTATGGAATTAGCTGTATCTGAACTTTTTATTGATGTATATGCTCTTATTGCTGCAAACTTCATCTACTTTCCAGTTCTATATTCTCTCAATTTGTAAATGGCTTTCTCAGTTAATTTCAGTAATTTTATTAGTAAATAACAATAATGTTTTTTTTTTCTTCTTTCTAACCACAAAATGCTTTTTGAAATATTTTTCTTTAAATTGATAGTGTGATCAGTGTGACCTACTTCCCAAACTCTGATCAAATGATAAACATTAAGAGTTACATCTTGGTTGGAGTCTTGTAAACTTTTCAGTACCTCTTTGTACAATGGGTTGGGAGATTTTGTGTTGGCTCTTAAATTTATCTGAACATGGAATGTGTGTTTGTGTGTGTGAGAGAGTGTAAGTAATTTGACAGTCTCACTTTTTTGTTAGACTCAAAATGTTAAATGATCTCAATATCCTTGTTAACTTTTTCTCTAGGTGTATCTTGTGGACAAAAAAGCAGTATTGTTGGTGTTAAATTAATATTTGTATAAGCTTTTGCATATTTATTTTCTTCAGTTCAACTTGATAATTTGGATTATATGTATGAACTTTTAAAAATAGATGAAAAAAAAGTTTTGTAAGTTAGATTTGTAAATCTATAGAAAATAATGTTTTTGTTTATTTTGAGATCTAAGCAGTAATCTAACTCCAGGGCTTATAATTGATAGAATGATGGTAGAAAACTCCCCCTTCTTTGAATACAATTTTGTATATTTTCAATCATCTTCATTTAAAACAATGTTGGAAGAATTTTACCTATTTTATGATTAAATAATTTTTAAGAATATGATGATTGATATTTTTGTTGTCTTTACTTCATTTTTAATTCTTTCTCATTCATTGATAATCATCAGTTATAATAAATATCACTACTGTATTTCTACAAATCAGATTTGTATATATTTTGCATTGACTTTAGTATTTGATATATTCAACATATTATTGAGCATTCCTATCGAACATTTTTATCATTATCAGTGATGACTGAATTTTTATTTACATGATTTGTCTAAGTAAATATTCCACTCATCTCATCACTGAAAAGGATTGTTTTTTCATATTGTAATGGTCTTTTGTAAATATTGATTTATGACTTGTATTATTTCTCCTGTATTATAAATTAACTATTTTTCTTTTTTATTTCAGGGTTTTGTAAATTCAGGTGTAAATGGTATCGCATATGTAAGTATTCCAATTGAAAAAAAATTGATTTAAATTTGCATGTTTTTTAACTTTGCAGCAAACGGTGATTTTTTTTCCTTCATGGAGTGAAAGATGTTTCCCTTAAATTTTTTTTAATGCTGTTTCTTTTCCTTTTTTTAATCTGAGACTTTCAAAACTAGTGTGTGTTTTTTTTTTTTTTTGCTCTTCATATAACTTAGTTGTGTAAAATTACACTGGTTTGATATTTTGTAAACCACATTTCAAGTATTCTATTTATTAATTACAATGGATTTTTTTTTTTTTTTTTTTTTTGTTTGTTTGTTTTTTGTTCCCCCCAATTTAATTTTAAAAGGTGGAGAGAAAAAAATAGACATATGGAGTTAATATTAATTCACATCATCTGAGAATGTTTACCTACAGGCATATTTATTGTATTAGGCTCATCTTTTATCTCTTAAATTGTCTGAGAAACGATATGTATATATGTGGGCGGTGTACATTCTGATGCTGATCTCTTATGCTTAAAATAAGGTAATCGATGATTTTTTTTTTTCCCTCTCAAAAATTCTATTTTATGGAGATGGTTTACTCCCCCCCCCCCACATACTTAGGGAACCTGTTTATTTGAGAATTAAATTTTGATGGATTTTCTTTAGGTTGATTTTGTCTTGGTATTTTTCTTGTCTTTATTGTATTATTACTGCAGGAATTCATTTAGGTTTTAATCGTATGTGTGTGCATTTTTATTTGTGCTATTTGAACAGGTGTTGAATTGTTTGAAGGTTTTTTTTTCTTTTCTTTTTTATCTCCAGACCAGAGACTATTAGATTAAATAGGTGCCCTTTGCTGCCAGGTATGTGTCAGGATAATTAATGGGTTACTAGAATCTCTATTTTTGCTGGCATATTACAAGGGAAAGCTTTTTCAAGTGACCATTTATTGACCCCCACTTTACTCACTACTCAGAGTATACACTTTTTTCTTTTGTAGTTTTGTATGTTTTTAACCTTTGTTAATGTTGCTGCATTACGCAAAGCACACTACTTATCCTGGCCTTTAAAATACTTTCTGGTGCATGAAACAAGTTTTCACTCTATTGCAAACATTCACAAAAATAATATTGGCTAAAATGCATTAATTCAAAATGCTTTGTGTTTTTTTTCTCTCATGCAATATCTTAATGCCTATGTGAGAACAGGGTGGCCATTGGTGAGGATATGTCTGGGACATTTGATATGTTGTCCATGATACTCTTAAATTAATTTCTGTTAAAGTCAGAATTGAAAAGTCTAAGGGTAATTTTTTGGAAGTGCTAAATTTCCTGGAGAGAAAAAAAGTTCTATTTAAAGCTTTTCTAGAATAATCAAATGCAACTCCTGTCCTTTGTCATGTCTCTATTCCCCCTTATTCATAGAATTTTCCACTAACATCAGTTACTCCAGGTAACCGTTGATGATGGACTAATTGAACATTATCATTGGATGAGTATCCTGGTTAAGATCATTTAGTGTTAGTTTGGGAAATATCAGTTTTTTTTTTTTTTTAATTAGAATGAGTAGCCACTCCAGAGACAATACATAGGTGTGAAAATTGAATAATTGTGTAATATGAGCAATAACACTAACCTTGTTTTTGTTTTCATTTTAATATTGTATAAATATCAATATGAATATTGCCATTCTTCTCTTCTATTAGCATCTACTATTCTTGTATAGTGGAATTTATATTTGGATATCTAATAAGCAGTGGAGGGAGTATTTCAGATCAGTGCTATTCATTGAAAAATAAAGCTTAAATTTTAGCTTTAAAAGTATTTATTTTGTTTTTAGTTTAGCACTTTTTATCAAGAAACTCTTAACATATGCAGTTTTATATCTATTTTCTTTTTGTAATGTTGCCATGTAGAAATATTTCTATATACTGGAGATTACCCAAAGGTGATCAATGCAGGTGTCCCCCAAAGTTAGTTTCTCTGTCCAACCCTCTTCCTACTCTACATAAAATGGTTAAGAGTATACTCCAATCATTTGAATATTTATGCTGATGACACAATGGTATATGGATGCACCTCCAGAACCCTTGATGACCAGAGCTTGGTAGATGATCTCTGATCTGACTTGGGTCTAACAGCTTGGTGTGGGGGGAAAAAACTGGCTGGTCATATACAAGGCCTCAAAAACCAAACTAGTTATTTTCCATCATTGAACTTAGAACTTTCACCAATCATTTTGAACAGATACTTTGAGTGCCTATGCCTACTGGGACTTAAATTTGGCCCAAACCTCAAGTGGAGTTCCTACATGTGATCAGTCGCTAAAAAGATGCAGAGTTCCTACATGTGATCTGTCGCTAAAAAGATGCAGAGTTCCTACATGTGATCTGTCGCTAAAAAGATGCAGAGTTCCTACATGTGATCCGTCGCTAAAAAGATGCAGAGTTCCTACATGTGATCCGTTGCTAAAGATGCAGGAATAATGATCATTTCCCTGTACTGCTCAAGGAAGTACCTCACTTCTGTTATCCTCTATCTTTACATGAACCAGATCAAACCTAAAATAGAGTACTGCTGGCATATATGGGCAGGAGCTGTCCAGTTTTCAATTTCCACTCAATAGCATCCAGAAATATCTCTGTGTTCTTGTAGGTGACAATTTATTTTCCATTGTACAAATCCTTTCTCACAGATGAGACATCACAAGCCTCATGATGCTTGATGAAGAGTGTTCAGATGAACTACATTTGTTAGTTCTACCAGTCCTAACCTTCAGGTAAGGCCCACTGTGCCACACACATTGTAATGAACCACCTTAATTTTTTTTGTATTCTCTTGGCAAAATGTAATTTCCACTCAAGAAGCTTCTTCCTATGAACCACTGCCTTGTGGAACCAACTCCTAAGAGGTTGCTTCTCTGATCGCTACAATCTTAACCTGTTCAAGTCTAGGGTTAACCGTTATTTTCCACACATATCTGCTATGCCTCTTACTGTATTCCTCTACCTTTAGTAGTAGCCCTCAGGTTTTGTACAGGGTGAACATCATTATTTAAAAATAAGAAAGGACTAAAAACAAAGTACTTTGAAAAAAACAAAAAAACAAAACTTGTCTATGAAATGGCTTATGTTACAAAGTCAAAACAAGCTATATATATATATATATATATTGTTTTTATATTCATGTGGACGGATAATCAACAGTTATGAAGAAGCAAAATGTCATCTTTGAAAAATAGGATTAATTTACTAGAATAATATGAAAAGGAAAAAAATATGAAGATTTATTTACAGAAACCAATAATTATATTTTTCTCTACATTAGTTTTAGCAATTTAATTATAAACACTAGGTACCATCAGACTTCTATAAAATAAATCAAAAAAAAAAATCGTATTTTAAAAATCTTACTTGAAATTAACTTTTGGTTTGGAAAGCTAATCCATATGAAAAGATAAATTTCCATATATAAACGTTTTTAAAACCTTGGCATATTCACTTGTTGAACTTTTATAGATAAGAAATCAGAAAATTAAAGTATATCTTAAATTCAATATTTGTTCTAGTGATGTTTCAAAGTAAATTAGTGAATTTAAGGTTTAATTTTTGTGAGTTTTGTAAAAGTAGTATTTACTTTGTCCTTAAAACCTAATGAAAATAACATTTATGTATGCATGATATGGCCTGTGAACTGTCATCAAGGTCATAGGTCCATAATACTAGTTTTTATTATTATCTTTATTGACTTTAAAAAACACATGAAAAATGGAAGCAGTCCAATAATCAAGTTGATATTGTTTAAAAATTTATTTTTAAGCTTATATAGTTTATGAATATAATTTTTTTTTATTTTACATGATTTTATGAAAGAATAAGTTTATTTTTATAATACATTAGATTGTGTGTGTGTGTGTGTGTATATATATATATATATATATATATATATATATATATATACACACACACACAAACCTAGTGAAATACTTTTGAGTTTAACTTCTGTTTGATGCCATAAAATATTTAATGGTAACCAATTTTTTTTTTTTTTTTTTTTTTTTTAATTATCCTGAATGTATAAAAATTCATTGAGAGAGTTGCTACTTAAAAAAAAAAAAAAAATAAATTAATAAATAAAAATAAATTAAAAATGAAAAAAAAGTTTTTTATAGTGTTGGCCGATTGAAAAAAATTAAATTGAAAATAAACTTAATTTTTATAAATTATAAATTCCCCTAAATATGTAAACTTTTTTAATTTAAATCATTGAAAATGTTATCACCAGATTTTAAAAAGAAGGGGAAAAAAAAATTAATGTTTATTAAATTAGCAGGGAAACGGACGTGTGGAAAAAATATTGTTGGCTTGAAAAACACAAAGCTGACAGACTGATTAAAAACAAGATACTAAATTGATATCATTACTTGACTGGTAGGGAAGAGTAGTCAATGGATGTAATTCAGAATTATTTCCTTTTTGGACTTCAACACAAAAATAAATTTAACTGTTGTGAAAATAATAAAATTCTTAAAAAATGACCTCAAACTTTATGCTTTTCGATTTTTCAAACACATTTTATATTTAGTAAAAAGTTAGTCATCCAGAATTTCAGAATTGCACTGAAAAATTAAAAAAAAATATTCACTAGATTTTTTTCAAATGAGAATATTTTTTACTAATTTATACAAGCATCAACTCTCTAAAAAATGTATTTTTTTTTTTTTTTTATTATTGAATTATTTATGTAAGGTTTCAAGACAAATTTTCAAAATGTTATTTGGTATTGAAGTTTGTTTTTTTTTAATACTGAAATAACAACTAAACCGATACTGAAGCATAAATTGCCAAACCAACTCCAGTCTGAAGTCAACTTTCTTTTGTAACTTAAACCTAATGTTTTCCCTTACCTTTTTAGAGATTTTTATGCTTAAAAGAGAAAACTAATTTGTCTCAAACATTTGGAATTTTTAAACGAACACGTTAATTAAACTAGTGTAATTCCATTATTTATCTTAGTAATTATAAGCTTT